ATTGCCTCTACTTTTGTAGTTTAAGATTAAATATTTGGTCCCAGAATATATAGCACGAGGCTTTGTAGCCTTTCCCTTCTCACTACTGGGAGGTATATGAGGACACCGACGATCATTCCTTCCTGATGAAGAGGTCCTTGAGAGGGAAGAGGAAAAATGACTGAATCTTTCTGTTTTTCTGCTCTAGCCAGTGACAGTTGTAGCTCTTAATCCCTCCATTTTATTTGCAAATGGAAAAACACATTCCATAAAAAGAAATCTCTGCTTCTGGAAACACTTGTTTCAGAAAAAAAAAAAAATGTTGAGAAAGCTTTATTCTGGGGGAAAATATTCTCTTGTTTTCTCAAGTAAATATTTATGTAGTTTTGCAAAGTACGTGATATGGTAAATGAAAAAATATTTACTTTTACAGAGAGGAGGAGGGAAGAGAATTCTTTCAAAGCACAGAAAATAACCCTTAACTTCAGAAACAAATACATTTTGGCAAAAGAGATCTTTCCATATTTCTTATACTAGGATTTTTATTTTGTTTCTGGGGTCTTGCCTCACTTTGCGGCAAATTAGCAATATAATTTTCGGGAGATGCCATTCCTGAAAAGGTATCAACAGTTTATTTCCTCTAAGAATGATCAGATCCGCTCTTCGAACGATCAAAAGCATTTGAATAAAATTTACTCAGTTTTCACTTATGTCAATGCTTCTTTTTACTGACTTTGAAACCCTTTGATAACTGCCTGCAGAGTCTCAAACCTGGCTTGAACTACCATGGCCTCATTCCTCTGATCGAGCATTAGAGCCAACAGGTTAAACCAGTCTCCCAGAGTCTGTCTCTTCTCCCTTCCTCTCCTGTCCCCCAACATATTTCATGCGACAAAGGTAAATTCAGTTGGGAGAGGCAGCAGTGGTCTTTGCTCTGCTATAGAAGGAATTATTTTCTCATACTTCCTGTCCAGTGATACGATCTACTACTTCTTCACCTTGAAATCCCAGAGCCATTTCTACAAGGTTCATTACTCCACTTCATTAAGCAACAGATTCTGCCACTTAGAGGCTCTCATAGTAGCAGCCAGCAACGATTTCATTAGCATTTCCTAACTTCAGTCTGACCTGCCTGTAAACTTTCCACATTAGGAGCGGTGGTAGTGCAGAGGGAAAATTCTAAACTTTTTGAAACCTTGTGGCTGTCAAAACTCATGGGTAGGAGAAGAAGCTGGAGAAGAAATTCCTGATCTGTAACTTAATATGTATTTTTGTTGTTGTTATTCACACTGCCTGCTTGCCTGCCTTTTGCAAAGTCCTACATGCTACACGTTGTAGATGAACACCTTATAGGAGGATAAGACGAGGTGCCAGTCTTCAAAAAACTGACAATAGGATCAAAAGGGAGGATGTGAACATGTAAAACAGTAACAAATTGAAGTAAGATGAAATAAATAATATAGATTTATGGATAGAGGTAAGGGAGCAAAGAGGCAAGAGTGACCACGGATCCTGCTCGAAGGGAGGTTCATGCAGCAGCATCCAGTAATGGACAGATCCCAGGTTGAAATAAACACACTGTAAGATGAGAAACAAGACTCGAATGGAAGGGATTCAATAATATAAAGTATATGAAAGTCCTTGGCACATGGTTGCAATTATTGTTGCAAGAAGCAGTTGGCATTTGATTTGAGCCCTGAGGATAAAACAGTTTTAGAAATGAGAAGAATCCAGGCTGAAGGAACACCATGGAGGTGGAGGGGTGACAGTCTGAGGCTCAGGAGTGAAATGGGGAATGAAAAGTTGATGGTGTACTTCCATCAAAAGGTGCCTGGAAAGGAAACAGGACGTGGAAGTTATTCTATACAAAGCCCCGGGAGCTTTGTGTAATATGCTATGGAGTTTGGAGAAAATGAAGAAATAGTTGGTTCTTTTACTCCCCCCTTTAGACATATCATCCCTTTTTCTCTGGTCCACCTTGCCATGTCAAAAGTTACCAAAGGAGAGAAATGAAATCCATGTGTTGCAACAAACGAGGACATCTTTGTGGCACCTTAGTGTCCTAACTAAGGAATTGCTAAATAGTCTATCACCTTGACTCACCCAGACTCCATTTCTACCAGTGCTGCCACCTCTTCCACGGATACCAACGCCATTAACGCCGCCTCAGCATGTCTGACAGCCTCCCTCCCCCACCAGCCCGGCTGCGGGCCACCGAGCAAAGGAAGCTCACACAAGAGAAATGTGCCAGGAAGTGCTGCACACTGTCTTGCCTGATTTAAGGAATTCTGTGGAAAAGACACCTGTCAGTCGATGGACCCAGAAGGTGCCTGGAACTCTGCAGGTCCTTGATAAATACCTATTACACTGAGTTTTAATTCTTTATGAGCTCTTGATTAATGAACTCTGGCACTTTTTATTGTGTCAATCTTAAGTCAATTTTCTCAATAAATGACACTAAGAACTTTAAGGAGCAATTGAGGTGCAATTTTGAGCCTAAATGCTGAAACATTTCTACCAGAGCCTTCATTATGATTTATCATTATTTGAAAGATAATAAAATGAAATTTTCCTAATTACAAAGGTAATGCATATACATTACGTAAAATTCGGAAAGTATCAAACTCCTTCCCTTTCAAAATTTCCCCCAAAAAGCAATGAACAAAATTACCCAGTGTATTAGTTTCCTATTGTTGCTGTAACAAATTATCACAAATTTGAGCCTCAAGAGAAATTGGGTATCTTACAGTTCTGGAGCTCTGAAGTCTGATGCAGGTTTCAGTAGGCTAAAATTAAGGTGTCTGCAGGTTGTGCCCAGTCTGAGGACTCCAGGGGAGAATCTGGTTCCTTGCCTTTCCAGCTAATCGAGGCAGCCCACATTCTTCTGCTCGTAGCCTCCTTCCTCCTTCCTCCAAAGCCGGCAACTTTGCCTCTCTCTGCTCACTCTCCTACAGTCACATCTCCGTCCAGCTCTCGCCTGCCTCTCTCTTCCACTTTTAAGGACCCTTGTGATTGCATTGGGCCCACCTGAACAGCCCAGGATAGTCTATTTGTTGATTAGCTTCTGCAACCTGAATTCCTCTTGCCATGCAATATGACATTCACAGGTTCTGGGGATTAGTACGAGGACATCTTTGGAGGGAAGGGACTTCATTATTCTATCACACCTACAATCTCTGTACTCAGAAACAGTAATCATAAACATTTTATTGCATGATTTTCTAATCTCTTTAAAGTTCACATAAATGCAAGTACATATGTAATAGACTGTTGGGAATGGAGTTTTCTGAGTAACTGTGGACTGTTTCAGTTTTCTGAGTAATGTGCAGGTCATTCTCAACTTTAAGCTCAGTTTATAATTAATAAAGCTACTTTGAATGTAATAAGTAAATATTGAAGAGTGACGAAAAGTGGCCCCGCCTGTTCCCTTTGCCCCATTAAGACACCACTGGAAGTTTTAAAACTTTCTTTTTGGGAAGAATCAGAGTTGTTTCAATGAAAACACAAGCCACTGGCAGTAGTGGAAGCTGGATATGTTCACACTTGTAACACAACCTTGTGTTAATCGTGCTTCGATCTATTGAATTCTGTGAAAAAAGAAGAGAAATTGTTTATACATACATTCTAATAACTTGTGTCTGGGCAACTATTTCTTCTTGCAGTGCCTAAAGTTACACAAACATAAAGAACAGTACTCTTGAGATCAGATATTTTTCTCCTGGCAGGTCACTCATGAGTCACCCTCAAAGATTTTTATAGGATTGTCTTCACAGATGATTCTCTAGGTAGGGAATTGAAAGCAATACAGCAATTCATGCTCTGAAGAAATTTCAAAATGGCAAAATCTGTGAGTAATCAAGTGAAATCAAGAAAACCATTTGGAGTTTACTTTGAATAACTTAATTACAACTACTGCAAAGGATGTGCTGTTTATTTTTAGAACACCTTTCCTCAAAAGATGGTAAATTACTAAATTACTGTGTTATCTCTTAAAAGACAGGTAGGAAGAGACATTTTGGTAACGTTTATCTTATCTGATGATAAAAGAGAAGGGTCTCTCCTTCCAATTTTCCCCCATTTTTCTCATCTCTTTAGACCCCAAATTCCAAACTGGTGAAAGGATGAGAAGCAACTAAGGCCAGGTATGGGATGACAAGTAAAAGCAGTCACTGTTTTAATCCTGATGTGACCTGGGCTCTTCCTGTCCCATGAGGTCTAGACGAAATGAAATCTGCCCCCTAATTCCAAGGCTTGTGACTGATTTCCAGAAATTCCTAGGCAGTTTACAGTCTCAGAGTCAGCTCTGGCTCCAAACTTTCGTTTTCTCAGTTTATAGATTGTTTTAGTGTCTCACATATTTCACTTCTGTTAGGCGATGCATCGAGTCCGATGTCATATTCAGGTTCTTTCCCAGTTTACACACACACACACACACACACACTCCCCACTCCCACGAGGTGGTGTGCATGATAAGTGGATCTTTACTGAAGATTTGAGAGAGATAAAGTAGGGAGCCATTTTCATCTCTCCCTACCTCACCTGGTGCCTCAGTTTTAAAAGGTCATCGACTGGCCCCTCCTTTTTTCTAGAGGCAAAACAAATTCCTCTTGTTTTGTCACGCAGAACGAGTCAGCCATTTCTTCGTTTGCCTCAGCGACTAACCACAGTCCCACCTACCCCAAAGGGCTCATTACAGAATTTCCCCAGGCATGGTTCCCTTCCTAAAAATTCTGGTTGATAATCATTTCAACCCTGTGTCACTTATTTTTAAACTCCAGTGTTTTCAGCCCAGAGAAGACTAATTTTCCTCTTTCCAGCAAATATTTTTGTGGGCTTATTTTATGCCAGGCATTATTGCTGGAGCTAGGAACCCAGCAGGGAGTTAGACGCAGTCCTGGCCCTCATGGAGTTTCAGTCTCCCGCAGGGGAAATGATTTAAACAAGTAATGATGTGAATAATTATTAACAACTGTGGTAATTACCACACAGGAACATTTCTGAGTATTGTTTGGAAGGGCTTGGCAGTGACAGAACGGGGTAAGGGGTGAGGGGCAAGAAAAGGTTTCCTTGACAACATTTAATTTGCCCAGGATTAGAAAGGGCTGGTTTACTGCTAGATTCTTTTCTCTACAACTGCTGCCTCTGAAGAGACAACTAAAATAGGGAGGATGACATTTCTTGAGTTTCTGATTAATTAGAGGAACACTTATTGAAGAGCTTCTCTGGGCCCGGTACTGTGCTAAGAACACATGCAGCTTATATGTAGCCTAGCGGGGGGTGGCAGAAAATATACAAAATGTAAAGTACTATGATGTTTTCAGACAGTATGAAGTAACGAAAGAGGTGGCAGAGTAGGTGGTCAGGAAGGACCTTACAGGTACAGAGGCCCAGGTGGTGAGGAGCTTGCTGCAGTGTCTACCTAGAGGAAAGGTGTGTTCAAAGGCCCTGAGGCAGAAACAACATCCTTGGCTTGTCTGATCACAGAGAAAGGTAAGTGGAGTTAGAGCAAATAAGTGAGAGGAGGAGGGGTAGGAGGTTCTTAATGTGGAGCCAGGGTCCTGCTTAGGTAGGTTTTTGTAGGCCATGGGAGGAGCTAGGGTTTTTCTTCTTTTTCTTTATTTATTCCCATCCCTCGACCACCCTCTGCTTTGGCAGCCATCAGCTTGTTCTCTCTATCTATGGATCTGTTTCTGTTTTGTTTATCCATTTGTTTATGTTTTTGTTTTTAGATTCCACATATAAGTAAAATTGTATGGTATTTGTCTCTGTCTGACTTATTTCACTTAGTATATTGCCCTCTAGGTCTATTCATGTTGTCACAAATGGCAAGATTTCATTATTTGTTATTGCCGAGTAATATTACATTGAGTATTTATAACATATCTTCTTTGCATATTCATCTGTGATGGACATCTAGGTTGCTTCCATATCTTGGCTATTACTAGTAATGCTGTAATGAACATAGGGGTGCATATATCTTTCAAATTAGTGTTTTTGTTTTCTTCAGATAAATACCCAGAAGTGGAATTGCTGGAACATATGGAGCTCTATTTTTAATTTTTTGAGGAATTTCTATACTCTTTTCTATAGTGGCCGCACTAATTTACAATCCCACTGACAGGGTATGAGGATTCTCTTTTTTCCACATCCTTTGCAATCCTTGTTATGTAGGGTCTTTTTCCCAAAAGTAAAAGGAAATAATCAGCAGGGGTGTGACTTATCTGATTTATATTTTAAAAAATTATTCTGGGTGCAGGACAGAGAACAGTTTGTTTTCCAGTGTTTTATAATAAATAAGCAAACTAAATATCTACTGGTGCAGAATTGGTTAAGTAAATTATAGCGTATCCATACAGTGAAACACTATGAAGCTATTAAAAATGGTGACATGTCTATATGTTGAAACGAAAGGATGTCCACATTATAGTAACAGGGGGAAAAATCAGGTTACAACATAATGGATGCACTGAGCTTTGATAAGTCTGAAAAGACATAACCAAAAATGTTTATATTGTTTATCTCCGGGTGGTGACAATATAGAATTATTTTTCCTTCTTTTTGCTTACCTCTAGTTTCCACTTGAGGAATAAAAAAAGCATATAAACATAAGTTCATGAGACATAAGATTAGAATATGGCCTGACAGAAAACATTTAAATATAGTAATGTGGCATTTTCATTTACTGAAATTGTATTTATAGCTGATTTCAAAACATGGATACTTTGCATCACATTTCAAATGTATTCATAAAATTTATAATGAAAAACTGAAAGTGTGTTCGCATTAGATATTATTCTTTAAAATTAATGTTCATAGTATTTCTTTGATTCCTGCATGTATTATTTTCTTTGTTCATACATTTTCTCAGATCCAATGTCAAGTTCTTTCCCACTGAGTGCTGACTTTTGGGAGTGCATCTGTGTTGTTTTGCTTTGTTTTTTGAATTTGGATTAGAAAACATTTCTGTTATTGTTGCACTTAAAAGTTCCAATAAAAATAATTTGAAGAATGGGAAACTAAGACTCATTGGAATAGCTCTGACTTCCTGGTAACTTTTATGAGTCGTTGTTCTGTTTTTTTTTTCTTATTGTTGTTGCTCTTCTACTTTTGCTCCAAAAGCATTGCATAATTCTAGATTTACGTTTTGTCAAGGTTTCCACCATTGCATGTCTTCAATCTCTCAGGTATTAACTATTCTGTCACAGTAGCACGTCTGACCAAATGTCAATAGGCCAGTACTTAACGATTTTCTGACTGTGGCGGTGTGAGGTTAAGCCCCCCTTGCAATCTTGGTCTTTCTGAACTCCCTTTGATTTTTTCAAAGGAATCTTTTGAATTTTAAACTTCATGTCATGTTTTACAACAGTAGATTGCTGCAAATGTAATCAGGTTTTTGACTTATATGCTTGCAAAAACTTGAAGGTTATTTTTTTCCCCCTTATTGTTGTTCATTGCTGTCATTTTGGAATGATTTTCTGTCACTGTTGTATAAAATCACTTGGACTTTCGAAATTCTCCAATGATCCATGTCCATAACAATTTTAAATAAACTATGTAGAAGATATATACAACTTACCAGTCATGGAAAGGAAAGATGTGATTAAAAAGCAATTTTTAAAGTTGTGCAGCTTTAATATTTTCCGTTGCGGTAGCCATTAGGCTGAAGTGTTGGTAGAGGTCCTTGGCACCTGTCTCTGTGAAAAATATTCTTTTACAACACAGAAAGGTGGGTCCTTGGGGCTAAGTCGATGGTTTGCATTTGATGATAATCTTCTAAAATGTTAAGCATATCATAAGCATATCATGACTCATCACTTTATAATAGAATACTGTCTAATAATTTCATGTCAATATTTACTTTTATATTTGCTATTGGGTGGGTGTAACATAGCATAGGGTTACTCTAATTCTTATGGGCTAATGATAAAAGAGTAGGGGTTGACTTAATAAATTTGTGCCAAGTGAAGGCCAAATGACTCATTCTGTGCTTATAAGTAGAATGACATTTGAATAGAGATAAGTAGTGGGAGAATAAGGTGATCTCTGAGAGAAGACACATTTGGGTAGTAAAGGCACAAGAACCCTAACAGAGCCCACCTTAGACGTGGGTACCACAGTTTCACTGCAAATGGCAATTTGGTCTTAGCAAAAGGGCGTCAATCATCATATTAATGTTGCTAATTTGAATTTTATCAATTTTTCTAATTTTGTTTGAACTTAATTTGTAAATTTATTTTTTATTGTATGAAGTCCATAAGTGTAAGATATTTGTAACTTGTTTTACATTTTCACATATTTAAATAATAACGAAGTAAACAAATCATGGCAAGTCTGAGTCTGGAGGATCCACATATTTTAAAAAGGGTCTGTTCATTGCTCAGGTTTGAGAAAAATTGCTGTAAATTGCTGTGGAAGACCAATATTACCCCAGTGGCTAAATAATATCCAACCAATATCAAACTAGAAAGTTCTATGAAATGGAATCATGTTTGACTATTGGCTTTTATTATTGCTTCATTGGTGGTTTGTATTCCTATCCAACTACTATTTGGGCGCAATGGTTCTTAGTATCTGCTTTAGTTTTTTTTTTTTCCTCCTAGTAGATCTGAAAACAAATTGTTAGTTTTAAAAGTATTGACCATGTAAAACATCCATTCATTATTTCAATAATATTTATTGAATGGAGACTATTGCCAGGCAAAATAGTTACATAAATTTATATATACTTCTCATACACTTATACATAAATATTAAGTATATATTTACATAATATTTATATGTAAGTATAAATATAAAGTAAATAAAATATATACTTTTTTTACATAAACTAATTATTATAGATCAATAGAGAGAGAGAGATGGATAAAACATGGTTCTTAGCCCTGAGAAGCTCAAAATCTAGCAGGAGAGATAAATGTAAAAACATATAACTACAAAGCAATGGAAATAATTACTATAATAGATATGTGAAGTGAAGCAAAGTGGAGAGAGGAACTAATTTTGCCTGGGGGAGGAAAAAAAGGAATTCGCTTGTATTAGAACTTATTACTCTGTGTTATAAATTAGAATTTTCACGTTCTAGAGTAAGAGGAGAACATCTGTGAGGGATTTCCCTTTAGCTTTATTGAGATGTTATTGACATATAGCATATGTAAGTTGAAGGTGTACAATGCGATGATTCGATACACATATATGTTGTGAAATGATTACTATGATAAGGTTAGTTAACACCTCCATCCTGTGTAGGATTTTAAAATTTACCTCATTAAGCAAACAGGCCCACAAGACTGTTGAGAGTGTGGTAGAATTTACCACACACAATAACAATTGCATAATGTACCAAGGAAATGTTGAAATGGCTCCTAGTACATAAACTATAACTTAATTGTATGATACCACATGCAAGTAGAATATGGTGAGTAGCATGATACACTAGACATACATCATTTCATTCATTCATGCATTTGAAAAACTGTACCTACTATGTGCAAGATATTGCATAGGTACCAACGAGAAAACAAATGAATAAGGCATCTTTCTTGCCTCAAGGAGCTTATACCCTAGGAAGGGAGGTAAAATATACTCAAGTGACTACACTCCAGAGTAGTTTGTACTAAGTGTCCTCTGAACTATATAACCAAATATGAAAAAGTTCAGAGACAATGCTTAGTCTGGGTATCAGGGTTGACTTTTTGGGAGAATGGGTTTGGGCTTGATCAAAGGGATAGTTAGAATTTTGTCGGTGGCAGATATCACAGAGAGAGGGTGAGTATCCCAGATGGAAGAATCCTTTGAATCCTATGAGCTCATTTGTAGAGGTAGGAAAGGGTAAGTAATATTTCAGGAACAGTAAGTACTGTAGCTTGGTTTGAGTTTAAAGTACATGCATCAGAGTTATGGGACATAATTTTTGAAAGACTAATTAGCAATAGGTCACAGGTAGCTTGAACTGCAGGAAAAACAATTCTCCAAACATTTATTGAGGGTTTGTAATATCTAAACAGTTGGGAATTCAAAGATGAATGAGGTTAAGCCTGTTTTCTTGAGAACTCAGACATAATCCTTGATGCTTTGGAGACAGGCCCAGTACAGTGACTACAGAATGTGAGGGTACACGCTTTAATAAAAACGCATGCAAAGGACGATAGGAACAATTACTGGGGGAGTCACAGAAAATCAGGGAGGAGATAGTACTGTAACTGGGTCTTGATAAATGAGTGCAGAGTAAACAAGAACAGAACATTTCTTCCACATACAAAGTCCCAGAGATGTGGAAGAGCAATGTGTGGTCCCACGTGACTCAAGGGGCAAGCATTGGAAATTGAGGCTGGAAGGGAGGGTTGGGGTCAAAACGAGAAGAGCCTCCTAGGCTGTGGTAAATAATTTGGACTTAAGTCTAATTGACCAATAATTTTCAATCTTTTGGGTTGTGGCACATCTTCAAATACTAGAACTTTTAGCAGGACAATGGGAAGGATTAAAAGTCTGGA